CTCACCTGTCCCTATGACATATCATCGTAAACCAAGTTTTACAAGTGTCAATTATCATTCTTAAATTACACATATTTACTATATGTCGATCCTAACTGGAATATTATTTACCATTCTACGTGATGACGTATTGACGATGGTCAATTCGGCTAATCAGTGATAGCTAAGGGAGCTGGTGAGCAAATTATCGATATGATTTGATCATGCGGTAGACTTTTTAATAGCGATAATTATACGATAAGGTATATTAAGGACGTCATAATGGTAGCGCTGCGTTATCAATTGACAGCGCATTAAAAATGTAAAAAAATCAGGTAAGCTATCATTTGCTGGTTGCTGACTTTTCAAGTAATGAATTTTTAAAGACTTTTCTATAATTAAAATAAATAAATATGAAGTGCACGCTAGGCAGACCTGCCCCAGCTAAGTGGAACTAACTTAGTTGTGCGCCCGATCCGTAACTAACTGAGCTAAACTAAGCGCCTCTCACCCCCTTGCCTTACCCCTCTGACGCCTGTCGATAGTGTTGTGACAGTAGTCAGTAACTCATCAAACTATTGTAGATACACGATAGTACATCTTAAAATTTTCGTCGTCTAGTTCATTAAACAAAGTGTTAAATTCGCTACTTGTTTTCCAGGACTGAATGTGTTGACTTATCCAGTATCTGTGTTTCCGTGTTTCCTTCATAAAATAAGCAATAATAATCAGTGTTCTTCTCCTATGCCGATAGACCTCCTCTTACCTCTAAAGTCTCGTCATTGCTCGTCTTCTAACTCGACGTTCTAGCACAATCTGGCCGTCACTAACGTAGTTTAAGCTTATTTATTAGTGGACGGAGAACGTAGTTCTAGTTTAGCTTAGCTTAGTTCACTGAGTTTAGTTTTCATTTAGTTTAGCCGGCGGTGGACGTTCGGCTCAATAGTCTGCCACCATCGTAACGTTGCGTTTTCTATTATGAGCGCTACAAAAGTGTCGACAAAAAAGAGTTTGCTATATCATTTGCTCGTGTCTGCCTATTTGACTGTTGTTTAAATTGCTTATAAAAAAACATAAAAGACAGACAGACACCTAGGCCACTGATATTCCGGGAGCAGACCATTTGAATTTTTTAAATATTATTATTATTTTTTTAGCTTTTTCATGTTATTTTTCGGATCGGAACTCATATTAAGTTCGCAGGTCAATAAACTTAAAAAAAATAGTCATACAACGATTTATCACTCTAATTATCCCTAATACTTTTCCGTAGATTCGCGTACTTCAACGAACTGTAATGGTTAAAGTCAGTTAGTAAAATGTCTGCCATTTTTTTTGTATATATAGATGGAATTGACCCAATTACAGCTATTAGCAAATTATTTAGTAGAGGTTTTTTTTACTAAATCTACCTCCTGAAATAATGCAGAGACCTGTATGTCTGCCTTATAGATTTTCTTCGTTATCTAATTGGTATTGACTTAAAAACGCAGCAACGGACGACCTTAATTCATTAAGGATATTTTGTCGTATAGATCCGGACTTTAATTCCTAGCAATACGAAATACGAACAAATCATATATACTTAAATGCTCGCCAGAAGACTGACGTATTCAAAGTACTACTTTTATAACGGATTTCTTGATAAATGAATAATGTTTTATCAAAAAATATTGTGTAGTAAAACACTTTCACACACGTCGTGAAGCGCATCACATCTGCCCCTTCTATTATCACTACTTCATAGCGATCACGACCGCTCTGTCAAGAGTGCACCGGATAATAAGGAAGGAAGTAAAAGACTTGTGCATATGTACAAGTTAATAATACTTTATTTTTCACACTATCAAGTAGCTTACTTCACCAGGGGCCCAGTGAAGTATTTCAATAAAAGAGAGTACCAATTATTGAAAGGCAGACAACGCATTCGCGAGCCCTCTGGCATTGAGAGAGTTTAAAGGTATCCATTAACATCATCAGTAACATATGAGATGAGCCTCCTGCCTGTTTGCCCCGTTATATGTAAAAAAAACGTTTGCCCAAAAGCGCGGTTCGAAAGAGACGAAATAATAAAACTGATTTTGTTTTTATGAAGGAGATATTTTACTATATTTAAAATACTACTTAAATGCGTCATATAAACGTCTCCCATATCCGGCCTCAATAACAACTCAAGGTCCGAAAGTATTAATAACAAAAATATTTCCTGGAACGATACCTATCACGGCTCCATCACTCGTACTATGTTTATCTATCGCAGAAACTCGCACGATAGGGAATTAATTGTTTTTCTTCAAATACCGAATTTTATGACGAACGTTGAGGTCACACGATCATTAGGTCAGGCGATATGATATACCGTTGATTTACCCAACATAAAGGTCAAGATCGAAATATATGCCCCGCTTGTAGCTTTAGGCTATGTTCAGGTGGCAAAAACTTGACGCGCGTTTTCAAATCGTGCGACTAGACATTGTGGTATTTCCATACAACTGTTCACATGCTCGCGGCGCTCAGAGAAAAAGTCTCTAGACGCAGGTGATCGCGCGTTGACGTGCGCTTTGATATTAATGTAATGTCTGTTTGCTGTTCAGTTGAGCGCGCGCTTTCATCGCGATCGCATGTAATTTCGTTAATTTTCGTAATTATATTTATAACAAACTGGGTCTATTTTTCAAAATTGGATGTACGTTTTCTTTTACTATATTTTTCTTTATAATATAACCAGTCCATTTTCTACGTTCTACCGAACTAGACTGACGAGTACTCTCGCAACGCGCGTTAGTGCTTGTCATCTGAACTCTTTATAAATTTGATCGCGCGTTAACGCGCGTTACATGTGAACTTAGCCTTATAGTATTCCTTGTGGTTCAACGTGCGAATCTCATATTACTGTAGCTGTTTTCTTTGTGCGCTTTCACTTGCTTTGTACGGTGAAGGAAATTATGATGTCACTGGAATGTCGTAGACACAAAAGTTGTAACAGCAGAGGCTAAAGGTGCGCTTACACGAGGGCAATAATTGCTCGGCGACACGAATGGACCGATCTGGAGCAATTAATGGAGCAATTTCAATAAATTCAATAAATTATTTCGGTGATATTGCTTCTAATTGCTCCAGATATTTCATATCGCTCAATGTCGCAGATACGAATTGACGAATATCCAATGGACTTGGAAATTCCTAGCAATTTTTGTATATGTCTCATTCGCACTTGAGGTCTAAATAGTAATAATTTCTAATTACTTTATTGAAAATTAATTCAAAGTCTGTTCGTGACATTCTAGTAAAGTTTTTAAATAATATATCATGTAATTTTTTTACACAATGAAAATTGCGGCCTCTTCCAAAAACGATCGCACCCAGATACGCCTATTCCTTCTTTCTTTTTTGTTTTTGATTAATAATAAAAAAAGCGCTACAAGCCGCCGCTGCAAGAACAATGTCGTCCATAGCGAGCGAATACTGAAATGCTCGTGTAGGACAGTATTGCCTAGTTGATGAAGTTGCGCCATATCGCTCAATATTGTATTACGCAGTACTGATGCTTGTTGCTGTTGCCGTAAATTGCTTGATGTAGTCGTGACGTCATAGTTGACGAGTATTGACTGGAATTGAGCAATTTTAGTTGGCCGTGTAAGCGCACCTTTACACAATCTTTACGTCAATTCGATAGTTTCAGGATATTTATTTACAGTTTTGTTCCCTTACTTTACATTATATAAAACATACGTGTTCCTGTATGGAGCAGAAACGTGGGCAAACTTAGCCCGACAAAGGCTAAGAATTGATGCTTTCGAAATGTGGCGCTGGAGGTGGATGTTCACCACGGACTATGCATCGATCACCCGAAAACCCGTTCATAAACAACGCCGACAACGCATCAATTCGTTTATTTGGTCACACAATGCGTAGATGCGACCAGAACCTAGAGAAGTTCATCGTTATTGGCAACACCGTAGGCAAAAGATCGCTTGGACATTTGCCAACGAGATAACTGATCGAGTCAAAGACTCTTCCTCAATATTATACACCGTAAGAGTACGTGGAACTGAAATTTTCTTCAGTACTTTGCCAGAACGTATTACAGCTGACTATCAGATATGAGTTACCGACCCAAACAGAGAGAATCTGAAACATTGTTTTAGTATCAGTTTAATCATAAAAACCTTGTATGTATGTGAGAGAAGAAAAATAAAGATTATTATTATTATTGTAAAGAAGCTAAACTTGTCCGTGGTTTGTTGTATTATGAGTCGTGCTGACGGGGCTGTCCATTCCTCCATCACCGAAGAAACATGAGTAAAATCAGAGTTGTTATATTTTTATGTACAATATAATTGTTAGAAATGATTATGAGACTACGTTCCGGACAATTCGACGAAGGACGAAAAATTTTTGTCTGTTGAACACTGTTTGCTTTTTTGCAGCTACACGTAGTTTTCTCAGGTCTTCGCTGGGATTAGTAGAGTATGATTTAAAAACGTAGTTAGAGAAGATTAATGTATATTGTATACCGAAAGGATTTTTCCTTTTTCGCCGGTTGATAAAATAACTATAACATGTGATAATTTTTACTAGGTTTTAACAAATAACGATTGCCTTGTGGTATATATGGTTGTTGGACTCAGTTTCCGCACTTAGACTCGTACTCGGTCCGTTGGGCGTTATGATTGAACATTATCAAAATAATTAACAATTAATGAAAAGCGTGTAAAGCTTGAAACGTATAACTATAATTACATAACTTTTTATCTAATACTGTATTTACTAATTTGCAGTAAAATCGAATTGAAAGACGAAATTATTAATAATTTATTTTATGCCAGTCTTAAATCATAAACATCACATCTATAAAATAATATACAAAGTAACACAGTACATCAAAGGCCGAAGTTGTGCGGATTTTTATAATTAATCCATCTAAATGTACCATTATCTTTGCAAATAAACGATTTATTTATTTAGAGCGAATTTATGAAATCTATTGAGTATATATCATTGCCGCCGTCTACGTAACACTAATTGTTAATATTGTTGAAATACATTTTTTTATTGTGATAGGCCTCCTCCAAAACGTCCTTGTAGTTAATACCGTGTGTGTCTGAAAAATAATTAAAGTACATAAATAATGGTATCAATTAAGTGTATAGGTATGTTAACTAAAGCTGGCGGCTTCAACACATTTACACTTTGTGCTTGTGTAGTGTCTGTGAATAAGCGCGAGACGTGATGTCAAACTGAAATACAATCATAAATACATCATGAATAGACTGTCCGTCGTGTATGAGTGGACTAAAATGTATAGCATGGCAAAAAAATCATATTTTGAATCATACTGTATGTGAAATTGCATTAGTGTGAGTACTGTGAACCCGCCAGCTTTCGATAACCGACCTATAAGTGTAAAGGTGTTTCTTGTTATAAGTCCTTCTTAGTATGGTGTGCGACATCTATCGGAGAGATAGTGTACTAAGAAAAGTACATTAGTAAGGCCGTTTCCACTCCACTGCTCCGGTCCGGCAAACGATAATTACCGATCCGTTTTAGAAACTCACAACAGTACTTACGTACTTCACTACTCCGGCATCCGGTTTTAAACGATCCGATAACTTGCTAGATCGGAACGCGGTGTTTTATCGGTCCAAGTATCCAAGAGGTTATAAATTATTAAATTATTCACAGGTTTATTTATAGTTTCTTTAATTTGAAAGAATCTGGATAACCTGGACCAAACCAAATTATATTATTATTATTTATTTATATTTTTATACCATAGTAGTAGTGAACTAGTTATTAAGTAGGTTATAGTATTTAAAGATAGACAATATAAAAATGTAATAAACTTGCCAGGGCAACAGACACCATATTCAGAATTTAGAACGTTTCATTAATAAAATATAATATGGGTTTTTGCGACGGGGTGACTTATTTTTACTGATCGATTATTGTGGGATCGGATATAGTGGAGAAGCGCAATCCGGCCTTCCGTAATTTTTCTCATGACTCATTCCGGTATCCGACGCCGGACCGGAGCAGTGGAGAAAGGGCCTTACTGCCAAGTGTGCTGTCGATTGTGTTGAAGTGGGGTTAATTTATAGACCAAAATGATTGATATTGAATACACTAATTTGCGACCTTGACGAAGGCTATTTCAATTATCGGTGACGTAAGAAGTGCAAAGCCATAATTTCAGCCAATAGAATAACTTTATATTAACTCGCATAGCGATAGCACAAGCAGGTGGCATTAGCTTATAAATACATAATATAACTTAGCATTTAGGATCTGGCAAGCTGGGTAACAACATATTACTATAGCTGCAAATGCATACTTTAATAACTTAATTTTATGCTATATATGAAAATAGGCAGTTATTTTAAAAGTAAATAAATTCCCACTCGATAACAGCACGTCCACACGGACATACGAAGGCATACAATTTTTTCTGCATCTTTATGCACTCTCTACGAAGTATTGCTTTTATAAAAGTACGAATTCTTAAACTTCAAGTGACCCTTTCGCCTGACATATGTCCATGGACGGCGATTAGCATCTGAGCCTCCCAAATCCTGCAAAAATAGTTCGCTTAGCATTGCGCAACATTACAATTAACACTTTTATTAAAACATTCTTTGAACAGACTCACCAATCTCCGTAATTTTTAACTGATCATTGGGATCCAATTTCAAGACTTCCATAAGGCTTTCATCAGATATGTCGTCATAATTTTTAGGTAGCTTAGTCGGTGGTTCGGTATCTTCATCGGGGTTGTTATATGTTATTTGGGAATTGCCACTGCAACCAGCTTCAGAATTGCCATCGGACACATGGTTCGCGTTTCCTAAAAGTATATAAAGACGTATTTACCAGCTACGATATTCAAATAATTCTTTCTCTTCGTTCTTACTGTAATGTCCTGTGATATGTACTGTATGCTAATGTTCATTTGTCTCAACATTAGGCCTATATGGAAGTTATCACTCATAATATATCCCAAGTATTAAAGTCTAACAAAGATTACATTACCAAAACCGTCTTTATTCAAGAACCCATTCGTATTTGTAAAGTACAAGTAAATTATATTTAGGAGAATAAACTAACACTTGAAGCACTTTATATACAACCCGTAAAAAAGGCTGGCAACGCGTGCGAGCCTTCTGGCGTATCACTACACATCAGATGAGCCTCCTGCGCTGATGATGAGCTCCTACATAAAAAAACCCCCCCGGTGATGGTACAGGATCTTGACATTTATAACTCAATGTTCCACCAATCCTGGTGCGTTCTAAGTACTAGATCCTCGGGTAACGGACTCAAAGTGAGGGCTGGGGTTTATGGACTTTAGACTCAAAGGCCGCCTAATGTATACCTAGCTACCCATTAGTCGCGCATGGCAAGGTGTGCCCAAAATTTAAGTATTTACCTATAACAAAGCTGCTCCTTAGAATAGCGTTAAGGATCCTATCACGCTGTGGTGGTATTATTGATAAGCGTGTATAGTTGATATCATTAGGTGAATCAAGTACATTGTCCGTATTATCTCTGGAGGGCAAATTAGTAACTAAATGGAGAATGACTTCTTGCAGTTGTTCGGGATCTTCCACGGGTAGGCTTGAACTATTTTCCTGTAAAAATAATTTATTATATACAATTAATAGGTATATTATTCATGATTGTAAAACACGTTTTAATGTGTGCTTTAAATGGCGTTACTTGTACCAAAATTATATTGTGTCGTGTGCCACAGTGAAGACTGCTAGTTATCAAACTTTGCTCACTACTTAGTATCTCAACTACTTAGAAGCGACTTACAAAGCTCTTACCTCTGAAACATTGATGTCATCTAACTCCTTAGTGTCACCATTGTTCACGAGTAGCATAAACTTCTTCTTCATCAAACGGATGAGTTCTTTTCCCTCCCGTTCATTAACTACCGTATTAGTACAGACAAAGCTGGTAACGGCATTCGTATTTTTATCAACGTCCAAATGTCCCCGGGTTCGCATATAAATAAATTGTCCGTTTTTGGTCATCAGCCGGTAACAAGACTCCCCATAGAGCCGATTTTCATCGTACACTGTAAATGAAAATAATTTAAATGTCAGCATGGTTGATTACGTCCATGAACCAATGGACTCTTTCTATGTGCTAACACTCGCTCGTACGGGAGGAAATTCTAGGAAACCAGCATACCTATGGCCCAAAATGACCTATATACATTGTAGTACCTCAATTTTTTCAAGACAGAGAGGGAGCTCATTTGGGGCCGTTTAAGTAATACGTAAGCACTATAGGGGTGAGGGGGGTTCTTTGTTTTTCTTATTAACAGTAATTATTAACTTGACGAATTGCACTTTCGAGGATTCCTACAAAAAATTAATACGTTTATGTACTATTATTTTTGAGAGCTTTGCCTCCCCCCCCCCTCAATTGCCCCTCCATTGATTGGAGTAAAACCCTTTATGCCTTGGTTTTATTCTAGTATTCCTTGTATTACAGGACTAGAGCAGAACCCATTTAATGAAGTGGCGTACGGGAGTCGTACTTTGAGCTAAATCTCAAAGAGTCAGAGTCTTAAGAGTCAGACAAGGTAGAATATACTTACTTTCACGCAGAGCTATAATGACCCATCGCACGTCGTCTCGGTGCATAAAGTTCATCGCATTCACTCCACTAACTTCGTGTGTCATATACCCTGTGACCAGGGCTATGCGTTGCTCACATTGAATGATTTGTCCATCTATTGAGTGACGGGTGCGATATTCCATTTTAAAAGACTCAAGGAATCTCTCTGTCATAAATGTCTCTGTTGCCGGTCGGGCGATGCCAATAAATACCTGATAACAATATGTTTGATGAATATCTGAATTTAAACATATATATCTGTACAATTAAATTAATAATCATTATTATTTCCCTCTCATGAGCTTAACTACACATCCGGCTTTAATATCTATGCCACGTGAGGATCTGCACATGATAGCCCACGGGATACTAGCAATTCCCTTTAATGAAGAGTAAGAAGAGGTGATTGCAAATATGAAGAGTCAAGTTAATGATAATATACATAGTGGTTTGCTGCCTCGGGGTGACCACCAGGGCACGTCTGAAGCTGACGCTGGACGTGACAGAAACGGACAGACGTCAGCGACTCTCAGTCAGTAGGAGCCGAGGAATCCGAAGATATTACTAACGACCAACAGTGAGGGGTGGGCATAGATGACGATTTGCAGAGTAGGGCTTTGCCCACAAACTCTCGGTTCATCAATATCGACGACAATAAGATATAACAAAGACAGACAAAGATAGTGGTCAACAGACGAAACCTAAATCTTCCATTAAATAAAGAATTCAATCTAAAAGGGATTAAGTATAATTAGGGCAAATAACTAACTAAAAGAAATCTATAGAAAATACAACATTCAAAATTATAATAATCATAAAAATACAGAAACAACAAACAAAGACAAAATTGCTAATTTAAAGAAAATGAGCACATCTTATACTAATAATATTTAAAGATAGCGCACTACCAGAAAAGAAAAAAGTTAAAGAATTTGGTCAGGTATATTATCAAAATAACAACAATGCCGAATGAATTAAAGAAGTCTTACTTGTCTTATAGAACAGGAGTGGCAAATAACACAAAGAATCCCAAAAAATGCAACGACTATCGGACTATCTCACTTATGAGCCATGTTTTGAAACTCTTTCTGAAAGTGATACATAATAGGATATACTCTAAATGTGAATCAACACTATCCTGCACCCAATTTGGCTTTCGAAGCGGTTTAGGGACGAGAGACGCTCTCTTTGGCTATCAAGTGTTGATACAGAGATGCTTGGACATGAACAGGGATCTTTTCGTCTGTTTTGTCGATTATGAGAAAGCTTTTGATAATGTACGACATGGTAAAATGATGGAAATACTCCAGAGAATTGGCTTAGATTATAAAGGTTGCTGTTTCATTAAAAACCTATATTGGAAGCAAAGTGCTAATATAAGGGTAAACAGCAAACATTCTTCATATATCGAGATTCAGAGAGGTGTGCGTCAAGGTTGCATTTTATCACCTTTGCTATTTAACTTGTATGCCGATGCAATATTTTCAGAAGCCCTAGATAATTGTCATCATGGCATAGCAATTAATGGCAAACTGCTGAATAACTTGAGATGCGCCGATGACACGATCTTAATCGCAGAGAGCCTCGAGGGTCTACAGAAAAAGTCAAAATATATGACAATAAGCCGAACACCGGAGCTTTTCACGCAATATATATACCTCAACAATCAGACCTTGGAACGTGTCTCGAAAATACGATATCTAGGCACAGTGATTGATGAAAAGGGTGACCATAGCATCGAAATCCGCTGCAGAATTGAACAAGCTCGGAACGCCTTTTCAAAACTAAAAAAAGTACTTTGTGACAAGCGCCTAAATTTACAGGTTAGAACTCGCATTGCGCGATGTTACGTCTTCTCTGTGCTGCTCTACGGCGTAGAATCTTGGACGCTGACAGAGACTATGTCCAAAAAACTGGAAGCGTTTGAGATGTGGGTTTATCGACGTATGCTTAAAATATCTTGGACAGACCGCATACGAAATACAACCGTGCTGGACAGAATGCAGGAGAACAAAGAAGTGCTTAAGACGGTTAAGAAAAGGAAACTTGAGTATTTCGGACACGTTTTACGCAACTGCAAAAAATATGAGCTCCTTCAACTAATCATACAAGGCAAAGTGGCAGGTAGAAGGAGACCTGGCCGCAGACGCACGTCCTGGTTGAAAAACTTGAGACAATGGTTTGGTCAAAGCACCAAGTCATTATTTAGAAGCGCGGCATCACAATTAAAATAGCCATGGTGATCGCCAACCTTCGCAAGGAGATGGCACTATAAGAAGAAGAAGGCAAATGAAATATACAAGTTAAATTATAGCCTTTAGATTAATTACTATACATGTGGATAACTTTAGTTGTATTCAAACAACAAACATAATTTAAAAGTTTCTATAGGTAGTGTAGAAATATTTAGTTACGATAAAGGGATGCGATTTGGACATATATATTAATACTAGCTGACCTGGCAAACGTCGTTTTGCCATGTAATATCATTTATAATAAAAAATAGGGGTTGATCGTAGAGGGGTGAAAATTAGGGGTTGTATGTAATTTTTAAATATCATAAAAAACTTAAAAAAAAATTATCTAAAAATTAAAAAAAAATTTAGGGGTGGACTTCCCTTAAGATTTAGGGGGATGAAAAATAGATGTTGTCCGATTCTCAGACATACCCAATATGCACACAAAATTTCATGAGAATCGGTCAAGCCTATTCGGAGGAGTTTAACTACAAACACCGCGACACGAGAATTTTATATATTAGAGATAAAACATTAGATTTATGTAAGTAGACAAGTCTGGACATTAGTCCAGGACACAGAAATAACGTCATAGGGTAGGGACATGTATTATTTGGTGGAGATATTATAATTAATCAACTAGCCATAGATCACATGTACCTAGAGATACACGAATCAGTTATTTACCACACTCCTCCGAAACGGCTAGACCGATTTTTATCAAATTTTATATGCATATTCAGTAGGTCTGAGAATCGGCTACTATCTATTTTTCATACCCCTAAGTGATAAGGGTTGTCCACCCCTAACATTTTATTTTTATTTTTTGGACGAAATTTTAATTTTTATATAATGTGCCATTCAAACTAAACAACCCTAAATTTTCACCCCTCTACGATCAACCCCTAATTTTTTATTATTGTATATAGTTATTTTTATTGAACAATAAAATTATTTCCTAGAAATGTAATTTATGGTAAAACGACGTTTGCCGGGTCAGCTAGTATAGATATATAACTTGTTTAATTGGTTGGAAAAACCACATATATCTTCAACTATATAAACTTTTTCAATTGACGATCAAGCTGTTATTACACGCTAGCATCAGCGTGATATTTAAAAATTATATATGGGAAATGTCACTTATGTGCTGACAAGGATGACAGTCCAATACATAGCATCCGGTTACGAGAAACGAGCTGGAACGTTTTATGTAAAGAGACACAATAATTTAGTTATACACCTTTATTGGTACTTAGCAGCTAATAATATATAGTGGAAAGAAGATCTCACCCAAAAACAAGTAAACGAAAATGAAACAGCAACAATTTTATGTATAAAGCTATGGGAAAATTATGTCCAACGTCACTATCACACACAGTAGAACAGATTGATGAAATAAATAGCAAAACTTATTAAATAGATATTACCGTACCAACACACTATAACATAGCCAAAGATAGAAAAACTTAGCAAATATCATCCTATTAAAACAGAAATCACTCGTTTGTGGAATAAGTGTTATACCGATAGATATAGAAGCAACATTAATAGTAGCTGTAATAGTATTATTAATTAAATTCAACAATTAAATGCTTCTATATTATATATTTACTATTCTCCACCTCAACCATAACTAATATTATTTTTTTAAAAATGGCGACGTAAGTGCCTTCTTTCTGACGACACATCGGCCGTACGCCGTGCAGGTTCAATCAACCTTTATAAATATTAATTATATAAAAATATGCATAATGCTCATTGCGGGAGGCACAATTCTGTGACTATTTCAAAGTTATGTCTATTGTCTATAGCTATGAGACGGCTAGTTACAAGTACAACAAAACTGTTTACATTACTGAATTGTTATTCAAATTCGACTACAAATCGAAAAATACATTTAGAAATCGCGCCTCTGTATGTCGAAATTTCAGCAGTTAAATCAAATTTATCTCGAAGTTCTTTTTAAATCGAAAACTCGTTAAATCGATTTTTTGCATTTCCCGTGACATTCGAGTTATAGAAATTCCTCTGTATTTTCCCGTTATTTTAAATAATACACAATCTACTATTTACCATACACTATCGGACCTGACGCAGAGCTTTGCACAGACTAAAGCGATCTCTCCTCTTAGAATTTAAGTAATTATTTCCACAAGACCAGATAACAATGAAAATGTATAGTGACAAGCAGAATAAACTATGAAATAATTATTGCGTGTCGAGCGAGGGCTTGCGTTATGAATTTTATGTTCGGCGCCTCAATTATATAGTTTGAATTAAAGAAATTTGAAAAGAATTTGTGTATTTGCCTTAAATGTTTTTAGCGTGTTTGCTACGAGTTTTAATCATCATAGTAGTATATAAAACTAATGTACGTATATACTAATATAAGTATTAAAACACCATGATGACCAGGTGCAGGAATAGATCATTGTAAAACGAAATATAATTAATTGATTTATTGTTTATCTGTGTTTCTACAAGTGTTACTAATATCGAAACTATATCACGTTTGATTATGTGGAACTAGTACAACAGTAGATATTATGATACAAAAGTCATCTGCCCACTGAAGTATTCCGAACATATTCGACTTAGAGTCCTTCAAGAAAAGGCCGATAACGCACTTCAATGCCAGAGGGCGTATGAAAGTGGCCATGGGCGGCGGTATCACTTAACATCAGGTGAGCCTCCCGACCGTTTGCCCCTTGTTCTATAAAACAAAAACGAAACGTCGTTCTCTTAAGGCGATGACAGCACGATCGTCTTTTGTTTTTATATTCTCACCACCACGAGCCACCTGAAATGGTACTTACAATGTCGTTTCCACTTGAAGTTGGCTTTTCACCTCTATATCTTGCTCGGCGGACAATGTGACAGTGTTTATTGTAATTTGGGCAGGCCTTATCTGCTTTTCGGAAGGTTCCTTCTATATGGCACGACAAGAAATGTATTGGTCCCGATCTCTGCTGATTAAGTCGCCTAAATCTAAAAAATAATTAATACAGTTTGATGAAATTGATTCTAAAATTACAATATGACATTTCTGAGAGCGTTGGTTTTATTTTTATGGACCAGTAAATAAGGTTAACATATTTCACAGAACCATGGCCAGCGACCAATATTTACTTTTTTTTAATATTACTTTCAATCGTGGCTACTAATTCCGTATGTATTGCTATACGTAAAAATGTTTTTACAGGGCACAAATTTTTTAAAAATGATTTACTTTTTTATTGCTTATACATATACTTTCAATATCTAAGAAATGGTTGAAAAAACGCTTTGACAAATCGGCTGACTGAGTTTCAGCGCCGGTATTCTTCTTGTAATAGAATCGCATTGATCCTAACGCTTTAAGAACTTAAAGGGTACGCAGAAGTCTAAAGCGCCTTCTATGGAAACACAATACTTTAACCCTTATTAATCCACGGAGGTGGATCTCATGTGGTTAACTACAAGGGCGGATCCAGATGTTCATAGAGTTCACGCCTCAGTTAGTCCAGACTTTTATCACAATTTATCATTGATATCTTTTAACAAACTTTTTTATTTAGAGGACAGATGTATAAAAAACAAACAAATGAGTGTTGGTCTTATAAAAAAAACGTGCGTAGTACACATGTCAGAAGTGAAACTTCTTTGGCAAAATTTTTAACTCTTGTTCATATTTATACAAATCTAAAACTTTAGATTTCCGAGACTTAGAGGGAGGGAAAAAGGAAGATATGTTAGGAATTTAATGAATTGAATTGTCATTAATATATTAAAAGTGTCGAAAATTAATACAAATTATAAATTTAATTTTTTTAGTTTATATCTTCGATAATAAAAATACGTGTCATTTTTATTTACAATTCGTCATTTGAGATTTCAATAAATTATTTTGCATAAAATATAATATACTAATATTTCATAAATTAATAGAATAGATTTATAGAATATAAATTCACTGCTCACTCTCTCCCAAACGTTCTAAATCGCTCTCTCCCTTTTCTTCGACAAAAACGTTGCTCATCTTCGTGACGCTAATATTATTATTATTGAGTTTCATCCGTAACAATTTTACCCTCATGCACCTAAAGAAGTTTCACTTCAATAAACTTTGACTATGTGTATATCCGCTCTTGGTTATTATGGTAATGGTAATGATAGTCGCCATTAGTATATTACCGAACAATGAAACTCCGTTTTTCATTGACGAGTTCTTCAGTGACCTTCTTCTTTCCATCTGGATCGTCGGGTATCAGTAATCGGCCATTCGATCCCAACATATACATAGGTGGTGTCAATTGCTCCCTCAGTACAGCCTGGTCACTTTCGTGTACGAAATTATATATGTTGTGACCAAGCAAGTCTAACTGTTAAAAATTAAAGAATACAATTTATACTAACCAGCCTGTATCAATAATAATATAAAAAAACAGTCGCAATTATAAGGCACTGTAAACTATATATTAAGGGTAAGAAACCTATTAAGAAATTAAAACCAGGACCGTGGATTTGGATCTTCAGATCAACAAAATCGGACTTATATTTTATGTCTAATAAACGTGAAGTAATTAAACACTTCAATGCATTTATTTATTTATAAGCTCTTAAACAATATGTGTTTGATTCGATTAACAGATGAACAATAAAACTAAAAAAAGCGGAATGATGTTTATGTTATTAACTGTTATGTTGAAAACATAGGCTAAATAATAAACTTTGCAATTGCAGATTTCGCATAGCTGGTTACATTTTCGCAATGCATACAATAACAGCCGTACTAAAGGTTACGGGTAACTTATGATTTAAAATAAGGTAATAGAAAGCCTTTCAATCTAATCGCTAACTTTTAAGACGATGTTCAAATATTTTATATATAATTCTTAATGTACAAATAAAGATAATTTAATAAACACCTCAGTACGGTTGTTAAATACAAATGCTATTAAATATAAAATAACTATTACGAAGTGATTATGTTAGAAGTGCGTTTGGTCGAATCTTCACCAGTGTCACCGCCTCGGCCTCCATTTCTTTTCACTCGTGGAAATTATTAAAAAATAACTTACCTCACTGTAACCTAAATATTCCTCTACATTTGGAGAAACGACCACAAATAGACCTTTATAGGTCACCGTTATGAGAAATCCTTTTAACGTTTTTAGAAGAGTTTTTGTAAAATCACAACTGAATTCCTTACTGTTTCTCGCCCTGTCTAAACTGTCTCCAAAGACTGAAACAAAATAAAAACTTTATATAGCAAAACTGAATTAAAGTATTGTATACGCAGCCAATAATAGGCGTTTGACAAGAATTTTAAAATCCATTTCAGATTATTAATGAATGACTATACAAATGGAGCATTCCAAAACAGTTTTACGATTAGTTAGGCAAAATATTCACAAGCATTCTACGCTAACGTCGAATCGACTAATCTGTGACTGTTTTTTGTTTCACGTGACTTTGACAATAATATTTTTTTATAAAAATATGATTATTTTACTCCATAATGCTTTTTTAAAACCATGTTTTATTTACTCTCAATAACACTTAATTTTTCATACTGTCAAATAGCCTATTGTGGATTGTGTGTGTGGCTGGACAGCTACTGCTTTAAAATTATCAATGATGACGCACATACACTTAAAACCCTGCAAATTCAAACCGCTGATATGCTTTTAATTTGCTAATGTGACATAATGATTTTACAAACACTGTAGGTAAGCTGAAAATAAAATGACTGTAAAGAAAAATTACATTCGAAAGAATTTGTGAATGTTAAGTCTGGTGAAAACTTAAATTTACAAAGTGATCTACACTTATAATAGTTTTTGAAGTGAAACTTCTTTATCGAGGTTGGAAAAAAATTTAGTGTAACATTTTTTCGTTACGTGTCACATTTTTCGGTTACGCGCCATGTTGCTTTTTGAAGTCAAACTTCTTTATCGGCGTTGGAATGAAACTTCTTTATCGACGTATGGGAGAAATTCTGTAGCAAATCGTCACGTTTTTCAATGATAGTAATAATTCTATTACAATTAATGAAATTCTATAATAATCTTCGTAGTAATAAGGTAAAATGAAATATTTGTATTCATGTCTATGATAATAAAAGCCTTTTGTTAAACTTTATCTAATTAAACGAATTTCTGTAAAGTTGCATATAGTAGATCATTTTTCGAAAAATAAGATCATAAAGAAGTTTCACTTCTTACGTGTGTACACCTAGTACACGCACAATTTTTATTTTTAACTAAAGCACTTACCATATTGATGTGAGCGTAAGTAATGTGCAGTAAGTCGCAGTACGCTAGTCTTGTCAATTTTTCGAGCAGGAATCGCCACCGGTGGCACCAAACTTGCCAAATGTGAAATTGATTTGTTCATCTTATCCCTTCTTTGCTTCTCTGCCTTATTCCGAAGTTCACGAGGACTGTCTCTGGAAAAAATATCGCTGGTAAAATTTTGCTATGTACTGGTATGTTCGTAAATGTATCATAGGGGCATTCGCTATTCAGTCGCCCTATGTCAGATTATAGAACAGAGGTTATGTTCGACACGTCCCGAGTATCATCTGAGCGAGGGCCGATAGATTTACGTGCTCAAACGCGGACGCCAACTTCTTAATTAATTTTCTTTCTTTTATTAGGTCCCATAATTTAATGAGTCGAATTCCTAACACTAAAATATATAGTATGTAACATTTTCGTTTACCATAATTTCTAAGTGTTAAAATTGTTTATTTACATTTAAGTATAAAGTATTTACAATTTTCTTAACCTACAAAGTAATAATAGAAATAATTGAAATAAAAACAAATTTGAAAAGTTTGGTCCCTGTGGCACTGTGTGTACCTTTAACGCTGGCAGTATTTCCTCGCTGTATACTTATTCGTTGAGCCAAAAAGTTTAAAAAATATAGTCTTTTATATATAGTTATATTTTTGTGATTTATATTAGAAGTTTTTGTACATAATTTGAACGTCAACTGGTCTTACACGTGGGTTAATTATGATTTTTTCACAACATAATTAGTACAATAAAAACATTTTCTACTACTTAGTACATCGGTAGAGTGGACGCGATGCCAAATCTAAACATAGCATTCCATTCTCCATTAAAATCTATTACAGCGAGTGATCGCCAAGTCGTTTTAGAAATGAGGTGTGTCGTTTTACTTTCTCTATGTAACTATTAATATGACGACTTCAAGAAAGCATACAACAATTTTTCTAGTTTAAAATTAGATTTCCTAGCAAAAAGAAGTTATCGCGGATATAATATGATTCGCCAGTTCTTTATGCAGACATTTATTTTAAATTTAAGATAGATGTAATATTTAAAACGCATTTTTCCGTTTCTTGTAATGTTTATTCGCTTTTTGTCTTAATTATATTTTTTAACTCTTTGAATTTGTAATGAAAAACCTCTTACTGGATCAAAATCAAATCAAAATCCGTTTATTCAATTTAAATGCGTCTTAGGGCAAGCTTATGAATGTCAAAAATTGGTGTATTTATATACTTTTAGTTTATATATTAAGCAATAATAAATTTAAAATAATATAAAAATTTCGATCGTTCATATCCTAGGTATAGGAACATATAAAAGTTCACTCTCGCTTAACGATTAGTTACCAATAGTAATTATTTTACAGAAATACTAACTATATTTATATGAGGTATTATGAAGTTCAGATAAACTGTTTATCACATCACAAAATTTAGTTTTTATTATATAGTGGGCTTTACCCATTTTTTTATCACTTTTAGCCGTGAACATTATGCTTATCAATTAAATGTTTATCTTATAAAACAATTCTAAAGGTAAACAATATTAATTTATTATATATTTAATTAAATAAAATTAAACTACATTCAGATATTTTAAATAATTCAACACGGAGTTAAAGTCCGTGCGAATAACTTTTTCATTAAGATATACATAACTATATATGTATAACAAGCATGTTAAATTAAACATACAATATATTTTAAAAAATAATAATGATTCAGTTTGGCGCCTCGTAGATAGTACTGGTGACCCGAGCTGGTGCTTTTCACGTTACGAATAAGTATCGCAAATGCTGCCGGGGCCAAACTTTTTCTAAATTTATTCATTTTTAATTATCTTATGCCTTATTATTATCTTATAAACGAAAAATTAACATATTTTCAAACATTCATTTTTATGTTTTCTTTGAAATTGTTTAAATATGTGTTTAATAATACACATTTTAAAGTTTAAAAAGGGGCCCTTAGCATTTGACAGATATATGACACAATGAAAATATGATTAAGATTTTGTATTCATTACACTCTGATTAATACGAAAATATGTTATAGTGGGTAAAACAAATGATTAATAAGTCTGAGTTGAGAGACTGCGCTATAAATTCCATGTTTTAAAAACCATAATTTCCCGACCTACAAGGCACCAGAAGATAATCCACTCCACAATTTCCATATGTATTCGTTTTTACAACAAAGCGAAATTAGAGTAATATGAACAAATTCAAAATTCTCGCTAATCGCAAATTAATCAATTTTTTTATAAATTGACGATTATTTAAATGATCCTAATCCTTGGGATTGATTAGCTCTATTTAAAACAATTTGTATGACTCAAAACTTGGCAATTAAGTGGCGGATAGCTTCTTGCCAGTTCTTCTTGCCCGCTCTACGCGCTTGACTTGCGAACTGGTGGTAAATGTAAATTTAGAATCAATTTAACATCTTTTATGTTGACGTTCATAAGTGTACTTGGTTACCTATATGAATAAATAAAGTTATTTTTAGTTTGAGTTACATCATTCGTCAACCGTTAAAAAGTCATAGTTCGCGGTAAGTGTCATCTGAATCTTACTCCAAGACCTTTCCAATGATGCCTCATAACGACTATGTTAGGGTTATAGATATTAGTAATACATATATAGTAATGGCTAGTTATATGTATATATATAATAAAAATGAATCGCAAAATGTGTTGCTAAGCTCAGAACTTGAAGACGGTTGGACCAATTCAAGTATATTTTATTATCTGAAGACGGTTTTAATGGAGTACAAAATTGGGAAAATAAAAAAAAATAGAAACGAAATTTCGGAAAAGAGAACAGTCTCTATGGGGTAGCATAACAAAATGTTCCATATGTTAATATGTTGCTACTATAACGGTAGCTAAAAAATCTTATTATGACGAAACGTAGTTCGCGGAGAAATAACTAAGTATAATTCCGTTCTTAAGCAGTCTTTTGTCTCTTTCTGTCAAGATGACTATGCGCTGTTGTAAAAAGAGATAGAAATATATAAATGACACAGGTGCATATATTGTTGGTATACTCGTATATATTTCTTATTTATTTTGCTAGTTAAAGGAATGTTACACCTTCTTACTTGAACTTTTTACCGGATATATCCAGACCTAGATACTGACAAGTAACAGACTTTTAAAGGAAATGGTCAAACAGTACAAAAATCTTTTGAAGTGAAACATGTGCCGATAGTTCGAGGACATTGCATTGTGTACCGAAATTTTATCGCCAAAAACTTCGTCTTTATTATTATAATGAGAGGAGGAATTATAATAATTTATTCACATTCTGTCGCAAAATAAAAATGCATGTCCTTTATATTATTCTAAGCAAAACCGTGGCACATTTAAATCTCGGAACTAGTATATATTAATTGAGTCCGACTTCAGACAGAAAACTAGAAAAAAAAAAAAACTAATGACAGTTACCTATCTAGGCGTAAAGGTTCTTATCAATACAAATTAATCAAGTCCAAACACCAGGTAATTGCTGTAAATCGTTAGGGAGATCCATCGACTGCTTCGCTTCCATCATCAGATCGATTCCAGACCTCTAATTAATCATCATATACTTAATAAAAATATTACCAAACGCTCTAGACGCCACCACGATTTCTGAAAGGTCCTCTCGATATCTCTGGGATGCCATCATCAGACCCTGTGTTTCTTATATTGGTACATGGTGTCCTTGGGATAAATCCTTACCAACAAAAAAATAATCATCAAAATCGGTTCATAAACGACGAAGTTACCCGCGAACACACATATAATATATACACGATCGAATTGAGACACGTCCTCCTTTTTTTAAGTCGGTTAGTTATCAACGAAAAAATCGTAGATAGGTGGACTCCCCACATGGATTATAAGGCTATTTAATTAGAAAATTCAAAAACATTACCCCTTAATAACAAATTTCTATTGTTATTGTGTGCATTTTCTCCTACATAACAATTATACATTATACAAGTCTCGATGCTTATACATATTAACGAGACATATATTTCGCGTGATTCATTCGAGAACAAGTTACTATATTCTGTTAAATACTCGCATTATCAATCGGGTTTAATTAAAACAGGTAGTTGATATTTTTACGATTTTACGCGAAGTAGTTCGGTTGATTGCAATGATCGCTTGATTCATGTATCTTTGTTTATCGAAACGACAAATTTTAAAAGCGCTATTATTATTATTTAAATAATGTATCCGAATGTTTTTGAAAATACTTTACGATAGTAAATCGGGGTTAAAATAATAGATAATACTTTTAATTCCATAATACAAATAAAATGAAATTGTAGAGATAATTTTCAATTTTTTGCTGTCTACTTGCGCGTAAATGCAGATTTAAATACGAAAATATATCTGTTGGTTATGGATGAATTATGAGACTAAATAAAATTTATTGTTTCTTAATCAAAAAGAATATTTACTTCCGTATATTTTATAACATATAAATTAATTTTAGGATTAAAATATACCCATTGCACAGGTGTACTCTGCAGTAGGCAGCCTCACACTTAACAATAGGCGTCCATTTTTGTATTAAAAAGTAAAACAACTCTTTGCAGCATTTCATATAATATAATATTACATAGTAATAAGTCGAGAGAAGATCGTTGCATTTCTAAAAGCAATGCATTTGGGCATCATAAGGCTTTGTCTAAAAAAATATTAACGTAAAAGTACAAAATACATGTTTTTCTGACTGCACAGAGCATCAAATTGATTTGTTGATTATTGTTATATTTTTAATGCTCTCTCACACTTCTTTATAATTATTTCTATTTTCTTTTTATTTTATTTGAGTTGCCAGGAAAAACCTGAAGTGATAAAACCGCCTGTTGCACTATTAAGTGTCTTTGTTTTAATGTGTAATAAAGTGTTAATAGTTAATTAAATAATAAATAATAAAATAAAGTCCGCTCCCTTTTTATAGCAGTCTTTTGTTTTTGTTTGTATCTGTGTCCAGTAAACATAAGGTATAAGTATAATTTTAAAGTAACACTTATTGCATGGTCATGTATTTTTAAATTCTCTCTATTCTGAATCATCTGTGCTACCAGTTTTTGCGATCCTCTAAAAAGCCCGCTTAAAAGCGGTATACCAAATCTACGCATCATAAGTG